GCGCGGACGGCGCGGACGGCGTGGGGCGGGCCTTAATTTCCTTTACTTTCTAAGCGCGGTAGTTTCTAAGGTCTTCCCAGGCTCCGAAGAGGGCATTCGAAGAGTCATTCATGGTCGTCACTGGGTGCCAAGACCAGTCCGCTCCGAGGAGACTTGCCATGTAAAGCGGCTTAGGATGGCGTAGCATGGCACGATGTATCTCCTTCATTGCCCAGGCTGTAGCTTTGAGCCCGCGGCTAACCTCCTCAAGCGACTCGCCCTTCGATAGCAGGAATGAAGAGATGAGGTGTGTGTGTTGTTGTCCGTCTATTGTGCCAACAAAGACAAGCATTTTGCCTTGATAATTGAGTCTGCCAGTGCCATCGACACTGGCCCAAGAAGGTCCACAGAGAAGATCTTGCATCATGGCCTTGCTCAGCATCCGTATGGTGCTCGTAACGAAAAAGTTCTTCAGCTCTGGGCCACTTACATTGCGATCGAATACGATTGGAACATCCCATTGACCATCTTCCACCATCTTTCTGAGACGGACGGTATCCACAGCCCTGACACTCAATTGCGCTTCGAGCTGACCATAACTGCCCTTCCAAAAATCCTTCCATCGCTTCGATCTAGCCCATAGCATGTACCGCTTGATAACCTTCTTGATCTCATCTCCGTGTTGGTCCATGGCACCCAGAACACCAAGGGGTTGGAGAAGTGCAATTGCCTTGACCATAGACCACTTTGGCGCTTCGATGAGAGGTCCCAGGGCCTGTTTGATCGGCGGAGGAAGGCCTCGTGTTGTCTCCATGATGACTTCGATTTCCGGATGGACATGGTGCTGTCCGGTCTTAATCTCGCAGTGGAGTCCATCGTTGAACCAGTAAATTCGAGCCTTGGCTGGGCAGTATGGTGTATACTTACAGGCCTTGCACTTCACTTCGGTATATGACTTCCAGGTCTCATGTTCTTCCACGAGCACACCATGTTTGAGTGGAGTCCAGCCCATGCCATCAACCATGAAGTGGTCATCGAGCACCTTTTTCACCTCGGGATCCTCGAGTGAGGTGGCCTTCAGGATCGCGATGACCGGTGCCGCGAGCCAGTCCGTGCGGCTGCGGCGGCCTTCGGTCTTAGGCTCCGGCGCCGCCGGCAAGGGGTCCAGCGTGTAGTCGGACGGTGGGATGTTCGTCGTGTTCGGGCACGTGAAGAGCGCGCCGTCGGCCTCGGGCTCCTCTGCTGGGCCCTCCTCGGCACCCTGTTCCTCGGTCTCGTCCTCCTCGACCTCGTCGTCCTCCTCGTCCGAGCTGCTGTCCTCGAACTCGGCGAGCAGCTTCTCCTGCGCGGCCGCGGGCAGCGTCGCGAGCGGCGACGTGGCCTTGAACGGCGACTCGCCCGCCGCGCGCGGCCGCTTCGTCGGCGTCGTCTGCGGCGCCGCCGCCGGCGCGTGCGCGACCTGGTCACGCCAGCGCGCGCACGCCCAGCGATACCAGTCCATGGCCTTGGGGCTGCCCGAGATCCTGGGAGCGAGCGCTCTCCGCCGAAATCCTACGAGCGGACTTTGTAAATCCTGCAACAATATTATTCCTGGCAACCAGGCTTGGCGCATCCATGTTGAACTGCACGATGAAGTCGAAAAGCCAAGGTCGAAGCCCGCACACGCCCGCGCCACGCGATAAGCGTACGCACACCACAGCGTTACTCGGCCCTGAGGCTCGCGACGGCGTCGCGCACGCTCGCGGCCCAGCCGGGGATGCCCGGCTTGTCGGGGAAGAAGACGGCGGAGAAGCCGAGGTCCTCGCACGCGCGCGCGGACGTCTCGCCGATGCACGCCGCCGCCTGGCCCGTGCCGACGCGCTCGGCCCAGACGCGCGCGGCCGACGGCGAGCCGATGGCGACGACGGCGGCGGCCGCCGCGCGCGCCGCGTCGTCGGCCGTCCAGGCCGCGGGCTCCGTCGTGTAGCTGTCGACGCGCTTCACCCGGAAGCCGCGGTCCGCCAACCCGTCCTCGAGGGTCCGCGCCGCGAGCGCCGACGCCGGGTAGAGCACGTTCTCGTAGGGCCGCGACTCGTTGCGCGGCAGCGACGCCGCGAGCGACGCGGCCGTCGCCTTGGCCGGCGCGTGGACGTCGCGCCAGCCGCCCGTCTCGCGCGCCCGGAGCGCGTCCGCCGTCGCCGCGCCGACGGCGGCGAGCCGGAAGCCCCGCCAGCGCGCGTCGCGCATCATCGACACGCCGCTGCGCGCGGCCGCGTCGCCGAAGGTCCGAGCGGCCTCGGGGCTCGTGATGACGACCCAGTCCCAGGCCTCGTCGACGAAGAGGAGCGCGGCGTCGAGCGCCGCCTCCATGTCGGCCGTGCGCGTCTGCGCGACGGCGGGGATCTCGACGCTCGCGACGCCCTCGAGGGCCGCCGCGAGGCCGTCGTTCTTGCCCTGCTCGCGCGTCAGGGCGACGACGGGGCCGTCGGCCTGGGCGCGGAGGGCGGTCGTGCGTGCCTGCAGTAGTGATGTGCGATGTCTCGTTTGCGCCTGCAGCGCGTGCGACAGGCTGAGGGTGGCCAGGAGGCAGAGCCGTGCCATTGTTGTGGTGCGCGCGCGCATGGCGGTGGTTTTGTGGATGGAAATAGGACGACGACGACGCTGCGCGAACTCCTACGAGGACGGGCTCTCACGCGACGCCTCGACGACGAACGAGCACACCAAGCCGCCGCGATCCAAGCGGCGCGCGAGCCAGCGTTCGCCGAAAACATGCCGCAAGCCCAAACCTGCATCCGTGCAACCAAAGACGGCGCGGCGCCTCCGCTCGGCCTGAGAGCGGCCCGGAGACGAGACTTTCGTTCCGCTTGCCCTCGTCGGGGACCGTCGGAGGCCCACCCGCCGCGTCCCGCCGTCGCCGGGCGCGCGCGCGCTCGGCGTCGCCCCCGCGGGAGCGCGCAAGTTCGAAAGGTCATCAACTGCCTCGAGCGAACCACCGCCGCTCCCGCGCCCGCGGACACCATGGGCGCCGACCAGGACCCGGAGGCCATCACGTCGCTGTACGCGCGCAGCGTCTCTCGAAAAAAAAATCACCGAACACCCCACCCCAAAAAACGACCGGGCCGCGCGCCGCGTTTCCGCGCCGCCGGGAATTTTCCCGCGCGGTCCGAAGAACCCCCCCTTCCCAGGTCGGACCCGGGCGCCGACGGCCTCCTCGGCTGCAGCGTCGTCGCGCAGGAGGAGGACCACTTCCTCCAGCGGAGCCGCGCGGAGTGGGAGGACGACGGCGCGTGGACGCTCCGGCTGCACGCAGGGCAGGACAAGAGAGCGAAATTCCCAACTTCAAAGCCTCATATCTCGGCCGTTTTCCACTCGTTTCGGCTGACTTTTGGACGAGCGATCATCTCTCGGAACGCTCTCGAAGCGTGGATGCTTTTTCCGGAACGCGCGCGCGCGGAACACTCACGTTGAAGCGACGTTGAATCACCCTTATCCTGCCCAGGCTGCACGTCCTCTGCGGCGGCCGCCGCGACTGGGCGCGCGCGGCCCGGGCCGGCGGCGCCTGGACGGCGCCCTGGCTCGGCCCGCCCCCCGACGAGGCCATGACGCGCGCGCTCCTCGGGGGCTTCGAGGCCGCGGCCAAGCCGGGCCCCGAGGTCGCGACGCCGCCCGGGTCGCCGCGCCCCAAGGGCAAGGGCGGCGGCCCGCCGCCGGCGTCGCCCGCGACGCCGCACACGGCGGCGATGACGGCGCCGTTGGCGCCATCCGTGCGCACGCACGACTACCCGTCCGACTTCCTCGAGAAGTGGGCCGAGGCCGCGGGCTGCCGCGCCGTCGCCGACAAGCTGCCTCCCCACGCGATGCCCGTGGGCGCCGCGCAGATCTCCGCGTGCCTGGAGCACCTCGCGCCGCTGGCGCCGCGGCTGCGCCAGGTCGTCGCCGTGCCGGCCTGGGACGGCAAGCGCATCATCGGCTACGCGCTGCTCCACGGGCTGCCGCCGGCCTCGGCGCTCCGGAGCCGCGTTGCGGCGACGCCGCCGCCGCTCGCGCTGCCGCCGCCCGCGGAGCGCGGCGAGTCGACGAGCTCCGGCGCCGCGAGCCCGGCGCCGGACTCGGACGACGACGTCGGCTTCGCCCGCGCGCCCGCGACGCCCGCGAAGGCGGCGAACAGGGCAGGACAAGAGAGCGAAATTCCCAACTTCAAAGCCTCATATCTCGGCCGTTTTCCACTCATTTCGGCTGATTTTTGGACGAGCGATCATCTCTCACAACGGTCTTGAAGCGTGGATGCTTTTTTTTTCGGAACGCGCGCGCGCGGAACACTCACGTTGAAGCGACGTGATCTCTCTTGTCCTGCCCAGGCGTCCAAGGCGTCGCTCGACTCGCGCGCGCGCGCGATCCGCGCCGCGCTCGGCGCCGCGGGCGCGACGAAGTCGTCCCTGGACCTCGCGCTGCCCCTCGACGACGGCACGGCGCGGGATTTGTGCGAC